TAATCGATTTCCAAAAAAATACTTTTTAGCATTTTTAAGAAAATATTGAAAGATCCAAAAACAAATAATCCAAACGCACTCGATCGAAAACATTTTAAAATTTCAATTAATTTCGATAATGTTCCCACCACCATCATTAATTTAATCACTGTCGTATGTAGAGTTTTAAATAAGAAATACAACTTATATAAGATAAACTGCCTTTTAATATTTTTTTAAATAATTAAAAAAAAATTCTTAGATGATACGCAATAATTTTTAAACTTAAATTTGATATTATCAAAGTGAAAGAGTTAACCTTTGCAATGGTAACTTTAAAAATTTCAGCTATTTATTTGTTGATATGGGAGTTTTTTCTCCATTAATTTACTCTTATTTATACATTTACTCTTATTTATACATTTATTCTTATTTTTAATTTAGTACAGTTCAATTTGTAAAATAAAAAACTCTATCACAACCTCAATAACGGTTTATGTTTTTATAAAATTAAAATTACATTATTATTTTCATGCTATTGTCTTGGAGAAAGTTACCTTAATAATTGTATGACTTATCATATAATAATCAGGTCAATTGGCAACTAAAAAAGATGCTCAATTTATCTTTTAAAAAAAATGGAGGAGAAACTTCTTCTTTGTATTTTTGTACTTAAAATGCTATTGAAATTGAAGAAAATTTTGAGGTATTAGAGTAAACTAAAAATATTACTCACATTTAAGAAACCCTAGCGTACCAAAGAAAAAAGGGGATCTTCATTAACCATCATTACACTGTTGTTGCTACTTGTTGGAGTTGGAAAAGTTGTTCACACTGTCAAAAACTCCGAAAATTTGTGATGAATTTGGTGATCACTAAACCACCATTTATCACTATTTTTTGACACAAATTGAAGTAGTAACTAAATGTGTTTGGTTATGAATACTAGTCTCAATAATGTCACACTTACTGTTGAGGAAAAATAAAAAATTCTATTGTATAGGCAAAAGAAAGGAAAGAAAAAAAAATAGGTAAAGGTAAATTTCATGACAAAAAGAACAAAAAAATATTGTTGGTTTCAAATAACGCCTTCACTAAAGGATATTTTATTAATTAGTTATGTGCTTTGGATTCTGCTTTTACCCGCTACATAATTTTTTTTTTTATATAAAAAAACCTCATTTATCAGTTTCCAAAAAAGTAATAAGGACCTTTTTTTTCATAAATAAAGTAAGCACTTTTACTTGAAAGAAAATTTAAAAAAAAAATTATATTGAAAGGTCAGAAAACAAATAATGCAAATGCTCTCGAGCATTTTTAAAAATTTCAATACATTTCCCTAGCTACCATAATCGTTCTTATAAGCAACATGTTTTAAATAAAAAAAAAAAAGGATTAAAAGGATTACCATGTAATTAAAATTCTTTAATTTGATACTGTCAAAGTCAAAGATATAAAGTATAAACCTTGGTGATAATAACCTTTAAAAAGTTGAAAATAATTTCAGTTATTTATCACAAAAATACTATGCATTATAAAAATATTTAATACATTCATATATAAACAATATTTTCACAATGTCACCACCCATGTTTTTTGTAGAATTAAAACTGCAGCATTATTTTCATGATATTGTTCCGGTGAAAGTTACATTGAGGAAATTTATATGAGAATTATATTATATAATAATCAAGTCATTTGGCACCAAAAGAGATAGTCAAATTATATATCTTCAAAAGGAGGAGAAAAAAAAAGAGTGAAAAATATATTTACACTTTGTAGCTATGTTGGGAAAATGTTGTGAAAATTGAAAAAAAAAAAAAATTGAGGTATTGAAGTAAACTAAAAGTATTGCTTATATTTTATATTTTAAAAATCCTAATGCTAAGAGGAGGAAGGGCTCGTCATCAACAGTCTTTGAATTTTTGTTGCTTGTTTTTTATTGTAATTTCATGGAGCTTAAGAAGTTGTTTTGCTCTGGAAAAAAAGTTCTCCAACTAATTATAAGGTTTAACAATTATGATTTTTATTTGGTTAAAAGATGATTTTGTGAAAATTCCTTAAAATATCTTCTCCAATGTATTCAAATGGTTAAGAAACAATATTTCCAAGGTCGTAGAGGATTGAAAGGAATCAACCAAAAACTTTATTATTTTGATCATGAATGACATAGAGATGCCAATTTAGAACTTGAAAACCTTCATTATTTAACTCATTAAGTTCTTGATACCCTTTAACTCCCTTAAATATAGTTCTTCAGACATTTTCAACAACATTTTAACTAAATAATTAAGAATAATGCTCAAATT